CAACACACACACGACACAAGGTAATAACTATTAATTTTGATCGGGCAATGAATTCTTCAATATGCGCAATTTGTAACCCCACAAATCATCATAAAAGTTTATACAGGTTTTTTATACCGTGTCATATGCAGATGGCATTTGAAGACGCGTTGCCCTTTATCAGCGTAAAGTTTAGCGCGCGTAACGAAGCGAAACAATCAAAATGTCACAATACCGTTTTCGAGGGTGCGGTGAATGCCAAACACAATGGTCAGTCCGCCATAATGATGCGTAGGTTGTGCTTGGTTGCTGATGTTGCTCGGAAGAGGTCGAGAAGTGCGCGCGTCGAGCGATGTTATGGTAAGAGGCCGAGCCGCTCTACAAGCATCCCTTGGCTGAGCACCCCAGCGCGGTCTGGTCGGTGGTGTTCGTGGCTCGTCGGCTCGAGACGCGGCCCTTCCGCTGGGTTGTAGGTCGCGGATGTTGTGGGCGTTCCGGACTTCGCCGCAAGTGGGCGCCGGAGCCAAGGGCGACTTCACTCCCCCCTCTCGAAGCGAGGTCCGTACGTAGAACCTCTCCAATCGGCTTGCGTGGGACGTGGAGGTCTTCGTCACGACGTTGCCTTCAACGAGGCCCAGTTCGTAAGTCTCGGGACCTAGGGACCGGAGAACCACGAAGGGGCCGCTATACGTGGTCGTAAGCTTATGGCGCGTGGGATGGTGTGGGGGAACGCGTCGCTTCACAAGGTCGCCAACTTGAAACGCACTTGTCTCGTGCTCCTGGTTGTGTCGATCTCGTCGTCCCTCTTTTTCTTCGTTCGACCTCTGGGTCGCATCGGCGCGGGCTACCTCTACCGGCACATTGTCGCAGGCAGCATCGGATGGCTCAGCGAACTGCAGGAAGCGCGGGGAGTAGCCGGTAATCCCATGCGGTGTTCGGTTATGGTTGTCCACCACTTGAGAAAGAAGCGTTGACCATCTTTGGCTTGGGTGATCAACTACTTCCAGGCGTAGGCCTCGCGCTATCAGGTCGTTCGCCTTCTCGCAGAGGCCATTGGCCTGCGGATGGTAGGGCGACGTGGTGACGTGACGCACTCCGTGAGCTTCCAGGAAACGCCGGAACGCGTTTGCCGAGAAGTTGGTGCCCCTGTCCGAGATCAGTCGTTCCGGGGGGCCTACGGCGGTGAACAGCTAGCTCAGTAACCCTATAACAGTCGCAGTGGTGTTTTTAGGTGTGGGAAATGCCCAAACGTACCTTGAGTGATGATCCACTACCACCTGGATATACTTCGCCTTGGTGCGTGCAGCTGCAGACCCCATGACGATGGTGTCGATCGCCCATATGACCCCTGACCCCGGCGGCGAAGCGATCGGCTGAAGGAGGCCGAGTGGTCGACGGTTAGCAGGCTTCACCAGCTGGCACGCCGTGCACCCACGAACGTACGCCTTGATGTGATCGGCGGCTTCAGGCCACCAATAGTGTCCGCCCAAGAGGCGTTGTGTCCTCAACACGCCAGGATGTCCGTGCTCGTCGTGGTAGTGTCGGAGAACCTCGACGCGGAGTGGGGCCGGTACGAATATTCGATTCAGGCCTCGATGGCGATGAATCAAAAGGCCATCCTGCGTTCGTTGGCAGCCTGGGGGTGGATCGTCCAGCAAGTTTTGCTCGCGTCGCAAGACGTCATCATCGATGAGGAGCGACACCGGCTCTCGAGAGCGTCACACCCTTACGCCGTCCGGCCGATGATGCACGTAGTGGTACACCGACAAGCGGATCGACCAGCGGGTACAGCTTGCCTGAGGGGTTCTTCATGTTGAAGAGCCACCGCAGCGCTGAATGGTCTGAGTAGATGTCCACATGTCAAGCGTGCATCGTAGACATGGGCGTCACCGCACTTAGGACCGCTTGGTGGCACTGAGCTCGCTGGCGCTGTATCGACTCTCAGCATCGCATACAAGCGCGGAGTAGTATGCACTGCTGATGTCGATGGCCAATGTCGTCTGCTGCACTTCAAGACAGCTCCAAGTCCAACGGTGCTGGCGTCAGTAAACAGGACCACAGGCTTGTCCGGGCGGTAGATGCTGACTACCGGCGTCGAAGTTAAGGCGTTCTTGATGGCTTCGAACGCGGCCTCCTGCTCGGCGCCCCAGGAGTCGGTGATGTTGTCGGCAAACTCCTTCCTGGTGAGTCTGGTGAGAGGTTCGGCGACTCGGGCGTAGTCATCGACAAAGCGGCGGTAAAAATTGGCAATCCCAAGAAACCGCTGGAGTGCCTTGACGTTCTGCGGCCTTGGAAATTCAGCAACCGCAGCAAATTTTCCCTGCGGAGATCACATGGCCAAGGTACTCCACCTCGGGCTGCGAAAAGTGGCACTTCTCCCGGCGAAGGCGGACGTTGGCGGCTGCGAGGCGGGTGAACACCTCCTCCAAGAGGGCATCGTGCTGCTGCTGCGTCGGTGCGTGAACAATAACGTCGTCCAGATACGGAACGACGCCCTTGTTCAGCAGATCCCCTAGGACTTGACGCACCACTCGTTGGAACGTCGGCGGGGCATTTCGGAGGCCGAATGGCAAGACCAGCCATTCGTACTGGCCATCGGCGGTGACAAAAGCTGTGAGTGGCACGGACTCTTCGGCGACGGCGATGTGCCAATAGCCCCAGGCCATATCGAGGACGGACATGACGCGGGACTCCGCCAGTTGGTCGATGACGTCACGGATGTCTGGTAGTGGCTCACGTTCAGCAACGGTGACGGCATTGAGGGGCCTGTAATCAATGCATAAACGCTTACCACCGGACTTTTTCTCGACGAGGAGAGCGCGTGATGCCCACGGAGACGTGGACTTCCTAATGAGGCCCTTGGACAGCAGCGTAGTGACCTGGGCGCGGATGGCTTCGGCATCTGGCTGGGAGTGCCGGAAGGGCCTGCGGGAGACGGGTGCGGAATTCGGCTCGAGGCGGATGCGGTGAGCCACATCGGGGATGCGGCCGACGTCGGTATCCTCGGTAGCGAACAGCTGCGGGAAGCGACCCACAATGGTGGAGACGCTAGGCGGCAGCTGGGCATCTGCGGTGAGGCAGAGCGTTGGTTGTGTTTGGCCAGGGGTCTGTCGGTGGACCGTGAGCTGGCGAAAGTCGATCTTCAGTCCGAAGACTCGACTCGTGTGGAGGCCAATAATCACGTCGCGGGGTGAATTGGCCAACACGTGGACATCGACAGAATGGCTGTCGTTGCCGATGGTCAGAGAGACGGTGGCGGAACCGTCGCTAAAGGTGCGACCGTTCACTTGGAAGACGGCGATTGCGGTGTGCGGACGGGGCTTGACATTCAAGCGTCTGGCGAGGGTGGCGCTGATGACGTTGATGGTGCTCCCGGAGTCAATAACAGCTCTGCTGGGGGAACCGTTGATACGCACCGCAATATCCAGCAAGCCTAGTGACGGTCGCTCAGGAAGTTTTCCTGAACAGGAACGACTTCCTCATGTGGCACCTGTTGGACCGCGTCCCCGGGGTCGTGGTGAGGTTCGGCGGCGACCATTACTACCGGCTGGGTCCGCAGACGAGGACACTCGCGGTGCCAGTGCCATTGCGTCAGCCCGCTTTCGGCACAGATGCGGCACGCTGTTGGTGGGCGACGTTTTTGGTTGTTGGGACCCGAACTGCGCGCGGGCGTCGACGTCCAACGCTGTGGCGAAGGAACTGCTCGTGGTTGTGCGGGCGGTGGCGCTGGTTTCCCCAGCGTGGCTTCCAACTGCATGGCCACGTGAAGCCAGTCGGTCGCTGTTGGAGTGGCGGCGCACAGCAAATAACCGCGGTAATGCGTCGGCATTCCCTCGGTCAGTTGCGCCACCACGTGCGTCTCCCCAATGGCGATCATTCGCAGTAGCCGCATCTTGTCGTTAAAATACGACTCTACTGACTCTGCGGGCCCTAGGATGCGGCGCTGAGCCTGCACCAGCGGGTCGGCCACTGGCCGGCCAAATCGCGCGATCAATTTGCGTCGGACCTCTGCCCATGTGATTGAGCCCATTCGTGGGGCTATGTCCATCGCGTACCACTGTAGCGCGTCGTCCACGAGGTACCCCATGAGCATGGCTACCTTCTCATTGTCGGTTTTGTCGAAGCCGACCACTTCGAACAAGTTCAGCCATAATTCGGCGCGAATGACGGTTTTGTGTCCGGAGTACTTTTCAAGAGCGGGTGCGGCCATCTTCCACCGGATCGCAGGTCAATTATGGAAATGTTGTATACCTCTTCGAATCCTACCGACTGCGCCAAAATTGATGCGTAGGTTGTGCTAGTTACTGATGATGCTCGGAAGAGGTCGAGAGATGCGTGCGGCGTCGAGCGACGCTGATGGTAAAGAGGCCGAGTCGCTCAGCATTCCTTGCTGAGCACCCTCAGCGCGGTCTGGTCGGCGGTGTTCGTGGCTCGTCGGCTTGAGATGCGGCCTCTTCCGCTGGGGGTTGTAGGTCGCGGATGTTGTAGGCGTTCCGGACTTCGCCGTATGTGGGCGCCGGAGCCAAGGGCGACTTCAATATAATTGATCAGTTTGAATTAATTAAATTAATAATTGTATAAATACTAGCGACCTGCCCCGGCTTCGCACGGAAGTAAAAAACCGCATCAAAATCCGTTGCGTAGTTTCAATGATTTAAGCATACAAAGAGACAGACAGAGAAAGCGACTTTCCTTCTCCAAACAAAAACATCAACCGGTCAACACGTCTATGCTTGGAGGGGGAAGCTACGAAGCATCGCACAAAGAGCAGACGGGAATAATCGAAAACTTTGTATTTACGACATCACATTAGAAACCTCAAAAATAACAGTACTTCTCCACTATTTAATGGATGTTATTATACATACAAACCTTCCTCTTGAATCACTCTATCTATTAAAAAAAACGGCATCAAAATCCGTTGCGTAGTTTCAAATATTTAAGCGAACAAAGGGACCGGAAAAAAAGCGACTTTACTTTATACTATGTAGTGATTTGTAAAGGTTACTTTACACTCCATATGAGTGTAGGACAGTAAAATATTACTTATTTTTATTTCAGTGCTACATTTATAACTGTACACATCGTGAAACTAAAATAAATAACTTTATAAATTATCAAATTAACTTAATAAAAACAAAAGTAAAATTTAAATATTTATGTTTGATGTATTATAACACGATATTGTGTTTTCTACCATGAAGTATATATATATATATATATACTTCGTGGCGTGTAATATTAATGCATGAATTTACATTTCTGCTCGTACCATATCATAAACTTTATTTCGTTGAATTTTTCCTGTAGGAGTTCTAGGCATTTCTGTAACAATGTAAACGCCACCTCTTAATCTTTGCCTATCTGCTACTCTTTCTTCCACGAAGTTGGCAATATCTTCGGGTTTGATTTTGCCGATCATTTTTTTGTGCAGAGTTATTGCTGCACTTGGCAGGAAACCATCTTCTTCGTGTGGTATTCCAAAAACAATGGCTTCATCTACTGCGGAATGTTCTTTAATAATGGATTCCAAAGAAGCTGGGACAATGTGCCAGGACTGGTATTTAAACATGTCCTTACTGCGCCCGGAAATATACATCATTTTATTTTCATCATAATGTCCCAAATCTCCTGATCTTATAAATCCTTCTTTATCAAATGGATTTTCCGTATTGTTTTTGTGATAGCCGAGCATGCTAAATCTTGATTTGCAACAAATTTCGCCTCGTTCATTAGGTCCCAAAACTTTACCGGTTTCTGTATCGATAATTTTTATAGTAAATCCTGCAAGAGGAACACCAGTGCTTTCCGGAAACTGTTCCCTGTAAGATCGATAGTTTGCTGTGAATGCACAACATGGTCCACCAAATTCCGTCATGCCATATCCTTGATTGAAATGAATCTGTGGAAACGTTGACTGCATTAGGGCAAATTGTCCTTTGGTTGGAGTCATGCCACCAGCCATAACGGCTTTGAGAGGTGTTTGGTTAATTAAATCTTTGGCTTGGAGAAATTTTGATAGGTAGCTGGTCGCTAAAAATGTTCCTTCGACTTTATACTGTTTGCAAACGTTGCAAAATTCTAGAATATCAAATTTGCGCAAGGCTACTTTGGTAGCACCTTTGAGAAACTGGCCAATAAACATGCCCAAACCCGAAATCCAATAAAAAGTTGTACATAAAGTAAAAACATTTGGATTTTCCATAAGTTCGCTAAAAAAGAATGCAATTTTAAAAGCATAAACAAAGAGAAATCGACGATTGACTTACTGCATTAGTGTACCAACATACAAAACACTTTCATGATTCAAACATATTCCTTTTGGCAAACCTGTGGTTCCACTACTGAACAAAATGGCTGCCATTGTTTTGGCAGGATCTTTAACAATGACAGGTTCAAATCCGGATGTGATATCTGTTGTTGCCAATAAATCTTGTAGATGCAGGTTTCCATTTCTTTCTAGTTGCGTGTGATCGTAGTTTACTATTAATTTAGCTTCTTTTTTAATGTTTTTTAATGCTGCTTTGATATTTTCGACAATGTCTGCGTTTACAAAAATAACTTTTGGCTCAGCTAAGTTAATTAGATACTCGCAATCACGAATAGAAAGTGAAGGATCTAAGGAACAAGTCACAGCATTCAGGTAGAATGTTGCAGCAATTGGAAGAGAATTTTCCAGGGAATTTTTCATTGACGTCATTATAATATCGCCTGGTTGTACTCCACATAAAGCCCGCAGGTTTGCGGCAAGGTTTAAGGATTGTACTTTGAAATCGTGGAAAGTTATTGAAGCGTTTGTAAATGGACATATCTATAATATGTATAGAATTAAAATAATTATAATACAATTAGAAAATATGTTTGTTTACCTGAAATGTATTGGTAGCAAATTTGTGACATGCTTCTAGTATAAAATGTCCTAAGCCTTTTTGGACGGTCAGGTCTGTGTCTGGTGTGCAAAGCACTCCATTTTTGATAGTTATATCATAATCTATATGAAGCACAAAATTAATTAAGGACATTAAAGACTTATTAAAGCACCTACCTTTATAATTCATCTTTCGTATATATTATATGTGATACAAATGAATGTTAGAAATATAAAATCACAATTTACTGATAGGTACGTTTATGTGATGAACGTTTTAGTATGATTGATATAACGTATAAATACTTGTGATAATCGTAACATTAGTTTACTCTCATGTATCAACAACATTTATCTCGTATGTGACGTAACAATTATTTAGTCTAGTCATTATTGTTTAAATAATGTTATACAAATATGAATCAGCAATATTTCATTTATGAATTTAAATTTTAACTAAAGATGGAAATATTTTTCAAAGAAATTCAATTTTCTTATTTTGAAGAAGCTTTAAAATATGGGGTATTCCATACCAAATTGACCACTTTTGAATTCAAGACAAAGAAATAATCGCATTTCTGAGTAAAAATCCAATTTTTTCAAAGTTCGCCATTTAAAACAAAATTATTTTCTAAAAAAAAAGTTTTCACAACTATTTCCCCATAATTTCGAAATGAGCCGATTATATTTTATATTTTTTCTTTTTAATCGCAAAATAATGGTCTTTTGCAGCACGTAATTTTTCAATTAAATAAAAAAAATATATATGAAATAAAATTGACCCACTCTCAAATTAGCGGGAATAATTGTCAAAAAACTTGAATTTTTCCAAAATAATCGCCAATTTAAACTTTGAAACGTAAATAATTCCAGAACTAAAAAAGAAAACTCTGTCAGGATAAAAGATGGGTAATCAAATTCTCTTTCGTATTGCATCATTAAATTTTTTATTTCAAATTTTTAATTTTTAATTGATATAATATCATAAATTTTATTTTTTGGATTTTTCCAGTTGGCGTTCTTGGAAGTCGGTGAGAATATACACTCCTCCTCTTAGTCTTTGTCTATCAGCAACTCGTTCCGCTACAAAATTAGCAATATCCTCAGGTTTGATTTTATCCCTCATTTTCTTATGTAGAGTAACAGCGGCACTTGGCAAGAAGCCATCTTCCTCGTGCGGAATACCAAAAACAATAGCTTCGTCAACACCATCACATTCTAGTATTATAGATTCTAAAGAAGCTGGCACAATATGCCATGACTGATATTTAAACATATCTTTACTACGACCGGAAATGAAAATCATCTTGTTTTCGTTATAATAACCGAGATCACCCGATTTTATAAAACCATCTTTGTCAAAAGCTTGATCTACATCGTTTCTATAGTATCCCATCATACTATATTTAGATTTACAATAAATTTCTCCTTGTTGATTTGGTCCTAAGATTTTACCAGTTTCCGAGTCAACAATTTTGATACTAAATCCTTCAATGGGCGGACCAGTGCTTTCTGGGAACTTCTTTATATCATGTCGATAATTTGCGGTGAACGCGCAAATTGGACCACCACATTCTGTCATTCCATAAACTTGGTTAAAGTTAATTTGGGGAAACGTGGATTGCATGACAGCAAATTGTCCTTTGTTAGCCATCATGCCACCAGCAATAAGTGACTTTAAAGGTGTCTGATTTACCAAATCTTTGTATTGAAGCAATTTTGATAAGTAGCTAGTAGCCAAAAATGTTCCTTCAACTTTATTCTGAATGCATAGTCTTGAGAATTCGTGAATGTCAAATGTTTTTAAAGCAACTTTTGAAGAACCTTTAATAAATTGCCCTGCAAACATTCCCAAGCCAGATATCCAATAAAATGTCGTGCACAGGAGATAAACTTGAGGCATGTCCATTAACTCACTGTAGAAAAACAAACATTATAAAATAAATTACCAAAATAAAACTAATAAATTATATACTTACTGCATTGTTACACCTGCAAAATACACACTTTGATGGTTCAAACAAATGCCTTTTGGGAAACCTGTAGTTCCACTACTAAATAAAATCGCCGCCATTGATTTATTGGAATCTTTGACTATTACAGGCTCAAAACCAGTTGAAATTTCGGTGGAAAGCAACAAATTCTGAAGATGCAAGTGTTCATTACTTTCTGATGCAGGTTGACTGCAGTTTACAATCAATTTTGGTTTAAGTGTCAGATTTTGAATAGCTTCTTCAATCTTCTCCTGGACTTCAGCATCCACAATTATAATTTTTGGCTGGGCCAAATTAATCAGATACTCGCAATCTCGAGCAGATATTGTGGGATCTATTGAGCTTGTAACTGCGTTTAAATAAAACGCTGCAGCAACGGGAAGTGAATTTACTAAAGAATTTTTCATTGAAGTCATCACAATATCACCAGGTTGAACTCCACATAAATGGCGAAGATTTGCTGCCAAGTTTAGTGATTGTATTTTGAAATCGGAGTATGTTATTGAAGCGTTTGTAAATTGACATATCTAAAAAATTAAAAGTTATATTAACGTATATATGTACATAGTTATTACTTACTTGAAATATATTTTTTGAAAATTTGTTACAGCCTTCAATTATGTAATGTCCTAAACCTTTTGGAACGTTTAATTCAGTACCGGGAGTGCATAACACTCCATCTTTAATTATTATGTCATAATCTATAAACGCAGAATAAATAATTGAAAAATTTGTACTTTATTAATGTATTTTACCTTTACAAGACATTATAGATTCTAATAATAATTGTATTAATAACCTTTTAGCTGAAATTATAACTTGGAACTAAATTTAATATTAATTTTCAACGCATATTTGACGAAATATCTCTTTATTCATATCTGTTATCAATGACTCTGCAGTTTCACATATCTAAATTAATATAAATCATAAGTAAACAACAACTTCTAATATAACACGATTACAAAACATGTTTATCTATTTATAAACTAGTAACCAATGACCCAGTAAATCACAGTCAATATTTATCTTGGCATACACTTCAATAACATATCTTTAACTTTCCGACGCTGAATCTTTCCAGACGGAGTTTTCGGCATATTTTCGACGAAATAAACTCCACCACGTAGCTTCTCTCGGTCAACTACCAACTCGGCGACAAAATCTTCAATGTCACTTTCTTTGATGTTGCAACCGGGTTTCAAAACTACAGCAGCAGCTGGTAGATTTTCGGCAATTTCACTAGGAATACCAAATACTACACATTCTTGAACTGCTGGATGTTCTTTGATGACAGCTTCAACAGCGGCTGGGACAATATGCCAAGACATATATTTGAACATATCTTTTATTCGATCACAAACGTAGATTAAGAAATGCTGGTTAAAATATCCTATATCTCCAGATTTAAAAAATCCATCGGCATCATAACTGTCTTCTGTTTTCTTGTAGTATCCGAGCAGTTTTGATGGTGGTTTGAAAAGTATTTCACCCATTTCATCAGGGCCGAGCAATTTGTTTGATTCGGGATCCACAATCTATAATTTAAATCTAATTATTTCTAACATTATTTTAAATTTTTTAAATTTCTATACCTTTAGTTGCATTCCTCTCATAGGTCTCCCACAAGATGATGGATACTGCAAAAAATCTTTTCTATCTTGCGGGAGGTAGCCAACTACACATGATGCTACTTCTGTCATACCATATCCTAGGAAAATACTGCAATGTGGTAAACATTCTCGTGCTTTGACCATTTGCTCAGCACTAAGTGGACCTCCTCCTAAAAGAATACTTTTCAACGAAGAGATGTTATACTTCTTTGATAATTGTTTTAATGTTTCGAATTGATAAGCCATTGGTGTTGCCATAAATGCTGAAGTAATCTAAAAATAAATCGAAAAACACTATTAACATTTGCGATACATTAAAATTGAAATAAATTAACATACGTTGTGTTTTGAATTAATTTACAGGTATCCTCAGGTATAAAACTTCTTGCGGCTAATCGACAACTTCCATTGATAAACGTCGCTAATGAAAATCATAATGGCGGACACCCAGTATAGTGTACTATAGTGTAAAATACAAGTAGTGTCATCCAGTAATTCACTAAAATCACATTTTTATTGTTATGTTTTGAATATATAGTAATACATAAATGGCGAAGATTTGCTGCTAAGTTTACAGATTGTATTTTGAAATCGGAGTATGTTATTGAAGCGTTTGTAAATTGACATATCTAAAAAATTAAAAGTTATATTAACGTATATATGTACATAGTTATTACTTACTTGAAATATATTTTTTGAAAATTTGTTACAGCCTTCAATTATGTAATGTCCTAAACCTTTTGGAACGTTTAATTCAGTATCGGGAGTGCATAACACTCCATCTTTAATTATTATATCATAATCTATAAACGCAGCATACATTATTGAAATATTCAATATATCAATTAATATTTCTTACCTTTACAAGACATTTTAAATTCTAATAATAATTGTATTCACTGAATATTAATAACCTTTTAGGTGAAATTATAACTTGGAACTAAATTTAATATTAATTTTCAACGCATAATTGACGTAATATCTCTTTATTCATATCTGCTATCAATGACTCTGCAGTTTCACATATCTAAATTAATATAAATCATAAGTAAACAACAACTTCTAATATAACACGATTACAAAACATGTTTATCTATTTATAAACTAGTAACCAATGACCCAGTAAATCACAGTCAATATTTATCTTGGCATACACTTCAATAACATATCTTTAACTTTCCGACGCTGAATCTTTCCAGACGGAGTTTTCGGCATATTTTCGACGAAATAAACTCCACCACGCAGCTTCTCTCGGTCAACTACCAACTCGGCGACAAAATCTTCAATGTCACTTTCTTTAATGTTGCAACCGGGTTTCAAAACTACAGCAGCAGCTGGTAGATTTTCCGCAATTTCACTAGGAATGCCAAATACTACACATTCTTGTACTGCTGGATGTTCTTTGATGACAGCTTCAACAGCGGCTGGGACAATATGCCAAGACATGTATTTGAACATATCTTTTATTCGATCACAAACGTAGATTAAGAAATGCTGGTTAAAATATCCTATATCTCCAGATTTAAAAAACCCATCGGCATCATAACTGTCTTCTGTTTTCTTGTAGTATCCGAGCAGTTTTGATGGTGGTTTGAAAAGTATTTCACCCATTTCATCAGGGCCGAGTAATTTGTTTGATTCGGGATCCACAATCTATAATTTAAATCGAATTATTTCTAACATTATTTTAATGTTTTTAAATTTCTATACCTTTAGTTGCATTCCTCTCATAGGTCTCCCACAAGATGATGGATACTGCAAAAAATCTTTTCTATCTTGCGGGAGGTAGCCAACTACACACGATGCTACTTCTGTCATACCATATCCTAGGAAAATACTGCAATGTGGTAAACATTCTCGTGCTTTGACCATTTGCTCAGCACTAAGTGGACCTCCTCCTAAAAGAATACTTTTCAAGGAAGAGATGTTATACTTCTTTGATAAGTGTTTTAATGCTTCGAATTGATAAGCCATTGGTGTTGCCATAAATGCTGAAGTAATCTAAAAATAAATCGAAAAACACTATTAACATTTGCGATACATTAAAATTGAAATAAATTAACATACGTTGTGTTTTTGAATTAATTTACAGGTATCCTCAGGTATAAAACTTCTTGCGGCTAATCGACAACTTCCATTGATAAACGTCGCTATGAAAATCATAATGGCGGACACCCAGTATAGTGTACTATAGTGTAAAATACAAGTAGTGTCATCCAGTAATTCACTAAAATCATTTTTTTATTGTTATGTTTTGAATATATAGTAATAAATATACAGTAAACTATGAGCTCCTAAAAAGAATGATTTGTGAGATACACAAATCCCTTTTGATAGTCCAGTACTACCACTGCTGAACATAATCAGGCAATTTTCATCCAAATTCTCTGCTTTCCTTGGTTTAAATCCTTTTGCGTCATTTTGCAAAAAAGTTTTAAATGTATCATATTTTACATTTTTTTTATTGTCACCTGTAGATCCTTGAATAACAATTTGAGGATGTATATCACTTTCATTAAGACCACTTATTTTTAAACTTTCTTCAATTAACTCCAGAGCATCTTCATGCACAAAAATAAATTTCGGCTCAATTAACTTCAACAAATGCCCGCATTCTCTGTGAGATAAAGTTGGATCCAAAGTTGAAGAAATTGCACCAATGTATAAACATGCTGCAGTTGTTATTGCACTATCATAATGATTCGGACAACAGTTGACAATCACATCCTTTGGTTTGACTCCTCGACGGATCAACTCTTTGGCTACTCTTGAAGAACGATCTTTGAAACTTTCAAATGTCTCACTTTTAAAATTCTCCAATTCATTCCCACATGGACTTATGTGGCAAATCTTTTTTGCGTATTTTGTGCAAGCAGCAAATATCATACACCCCAAACCTTCTTTCGGACATTGCGCCGTCACTGGAGGTCCTTTTATTATATTATTTGATATAGTTACACCTGAAACAAGTACTCGTTAGAAGTAATACTATATAAATTGGTACATTGTATTGCGTACTCATGATTGCTACACGTAATATTAGAACTAGTTTTGCGCTGTTGCACGTTTTATATACTCTTAAATGCAAATTAATTTAATTATTGCTTTGTGTAGCGGCATGTGATTCAACATTGTATGATATCGCATGATTGGTGGTGCAATTTGTTCAAAGTGCAATCGTGCAGCTTCAAATAAACTGACATGTACTTAATAAATAATTGAATATTTCCCTCCATATAGTTTGCCAATCGTTTGCATTAAATAATGGATCAAGGAAAATAACCGTAATAACAGATGTAATAATAGATAACTACTGTATACACTGGGTAATGTTGGATGATTTTTAAAATAAATCATGTGTTCTTTTATTTCTGGTCGCATACCTTCATCAATAATTAAATTGACTTATATGGCAGTTTAACTAGATTATGCAATTTTAATGATCGTGTGGTAAATAAACAGGTTTCATTATTCTTATGAGAAGTAATTACATAAACACACGACATTCAATTAAACCTTATTTGTGCAAAATTATGTATGAAATACAACATTATCATTTCTCTGCGTGAAGTTTTTGAATCGGCGAGTAAGATATATCTCATCATGGAGAAATGTCTTAGCGACTTGATGAAACTGACGAGAGACGAGAACATGCGTTTTACCGAGAGCAATGTCAGACCAATTATTAATGATTTGACCAGTGCCATTACGTATTTACATAAAAACGGTAAAAATTCGTAGAAAAACTTAAAACTTATTTTATTTTAAAATTTATTTTAATCATGACAAGATATTGTTCATCGAGATGTGAAAATGGAGAACGTCTTGGTAACAAACAATCCAAATAATGTAAATGATCACATGTACATTAAACTTAGCGATTTTGGGCTAAGTATTGTTAAGAGTGGACATGGTATTGCCAATATGCTAAATGAACGTTGTGGAACGTTGCAATACATGTGTATGTTCATCTCTTAATTATTTAAACTCTGATTGTTCGAGAATTTATTATTTTAGCGCCTGAAATTTTACAATCGAAGTCTTATAGCCAGCAATGCGACGTATGGTCAATTGGTGTTATTACTTATTATATTTTATCATTACAAATGCCTTTTACGGGAAAAACGGAAGCAGAAATTATAACGAATATTTGTAGCAGTATTCCCCAACCGCAGCACTTTTTCTCCCCAGAATTAAGAGATCTCATCGGACGAGTACTGAATAAAGATCCTGCCGCAAGAATCACCGCCGCTGAACTACTTAATCATCCATGGTTGAAAGGAAAGAAATTAATTGATTATTCTCAATCGCATAATGTTATCGATATGATGCGTTTGTGTAATAAGGACATGCGCGTAAGTAAAAGGAATAAAATACTAAATTATTTTATTATACAGGGATTTGTTTTATTAGATAAGTTTAGATGACGAAACTGATGATGAGCTTCTGTACGCACCAGATCAGCACAAACGTTCAGCAGCTGCAGTTTCTGTAAAAAATGTAACGTTCGATAAAAGGAACAAACGTGCTTCCAATATGGGTTCAAAGCGTTCTCGGGGACAAGGTCGGCAAGACGACAAGAGTCCCAAACGCCGCTGATTATCTAAGTTATACGCCGTTTGCTTTTCACGTATGCTTTTTACGTCAATAAAGTTAATTGGTATAAATACATATGAATAATTAAGACAATTGTACTCGTTGATTTGCCGCCGTATGTGTTTTCTCCAGCATGTTTTCAAATTTTTAGTTAAATATTGATTTGTAATGAGCATTTCGGGCACTTCCATGCATAAAATAAAGGGCTTTTGAACTACAATATGAAAGAAAAAACTTAAAATTTGGTGTTCTTCACATTATGATTTCCAATTTTAAGAAAATGCTAATTTTTAATGGGTATTTCCTGAGTTATATGCAACCCGTTTAACGGTTAGCCTGCTGCATGCTTACTCTGAAAAAGTCCGTAACCTCAGTTTGTGGTGTTTGAATTCTTCAATAAGTTTGCACATAAACACGTGCTACATTTAATTTTAACTTAATATAATATTGTTATAAACCATAATGGAAGCCGATAAACGTTTTGCACATGTTGCAAACGACCCGAAATTTCGGCGCATTCCAAAAGGGGAACGTAAGGTAAAAATCGACAAACGTTTCCAGTCTATGTTCAAAGACAAGAAATTCAAAGTAAAATACACTGTGGACAAGCGTGGACGACCTGTAAATCATTCGACGACTGAAAATTTAAAACGGTACTATGATATTGACTCTGATGATGATGATGAGAAGGATAATGAAGACAGCAACCAAGAAGAGTCTGAAGAAGAATCAGAGGAAGGTACTAATGAAGACAAGGAACAGGATGATGAAGAAGATGATGAAGAGGAAGAAGAAGAAGAAAAAGAAGTCCAGCAAGATGATAAGAAGCTAAAAAATAAACTCAATAAGGAAAAGCAGAAGAAAGTTAAAGAACCAACACTTGATTCATCTGATAAAAATGTATCAGATCAAATTAAAAAGAAATTGAAGAATCTAACAGTAGATTATGCTAGAGGTGAAGGCAATTTGTTGTCTGGTGAGTCTTCATCAGATGATGAAGAGACTGATGATGATGTTCAGGCACTTGAAGAAGATGATGGCATAGATCACAAGTGGGGAGAATTAGATGCAGATGCTGGAAGCACTGAGGAAGCTACATACAGACTAGCAGCATGTAACATGGATTGGGACAGAATAAAAGCAAATGATTTAATGGTTCTATTCAATTCATTCTTACCTCCTGGAGGAAGCATCTCTTCAATTATCATCTACCCATCCGAATTTGGTAAGAAAAGGCTTGCTGAGGAGGAAATCAAAGGTCCGGCTGAACTGGTTCAATCTAATGAAGATAATGAGAATGAAAATGAAGAAGGATCCAAATATCACATGGAAAAACTGAGGCAATATCAGTTAAACAGGCTTAAATATTACTATGCTGTTGTAACTTGTGATAGTGCAAATTCTGCAAATAAAATTTACACAGAGTGTGATGGTATGGAATATGAAAGTAGTGCAACAAAAATTGACTTGAGATTTATTCCTGATGATATGGAGTTTGATGATGAACCAAAAGAGGTTTGTGATAAGTTGCCTGAGATGTCAAAGTACAAACCTAGGTTTTTCACAACCACAGCACTGCAACAGGCTAAAGTTGATTTAACTTGGGATGAAACTAATCCTGATCGAGTGGAAATTGCTGAAAAATTAGCGAGTGGAAAGATTGACGACATTGCAGATGCAGATTTGCAGGCATATTTGGCTTCAAGTAGTGGAGAAGAGTCGGAAAATGAAGAAACGAATGATATTAACGATAATTCAGACGATGAAAACAATGATGCGCCTGCAAGTAAAAAGAAAATGATTGATAAGTACAAAATGTTACTACAAGAAATAGAAGTGAAGGAGAAAGCCAAGGAGAAGAAAGATATTGGTATGGAAATCAGTTGGGGAGTTGATCTTCAGAAGAAAACTGAAGAAATTATAAAAGAAAAGAAAGCAGCGGCCGAAAATAAGACACCATTCGAGCAGTTGATGGATAAACGTAAAGAAAAACGCAAAGAAAAGCGAGAGGCAAGGAAAAACGCGCAAAGTGGAGATAAAGATGATGACGAATCTGATGTACCTTCAGATATTGACATGAATGATCCATACTTTGCTGAAGAATTCAATACTCCTGAGTTCCAACAAAAGAAAAAGAAAACAAAGTCGAAAACGAAAGAAATCGATAGTGATTACGATTCAGAATCAGAGTCTGAAACAGCCGAACGCAAAGCACAACTTGAGTTGTTATTGAATGATGAAGATGAAGGCAAGAAACATTTCAGTTTAAAGAAGATCCAAGACAATGAAAACGAGTCAAAGTCAAAGAAAAAACGCAAGAATAAAAAACCTACTACGGATGTAAATGAAACTAAGGATGATTTTCAAGTTAATACGAACGATGAACGATTTTCAGCGCTTTTTACAAGTCATCATTATAATATTGACCCCACAGACCCACACTACAAGAAAACAAAGAACATGGACATATTGATCAGTGAGAAAATTAAACGAAGAGCTGAAATTGAAGATGGTGATTCCACAATAACGAAAAATCCCAAAAAGAAGAAACTTAATGATGATAGTAAGGCGAAAAAGGGTAATGCTGAATTAAATGTACTTGTTAAAAGTGTTAAACGTAAAGCTGAAGCATTCAAAAATAAGAAAAAATGATTAACATTCGTTTGAACGCGAGTTTTTGTTGATGTTTGATGGGCTATTGTTAGTCTTCATATTTTATTGTTTAATAAATCAACAAAGTACTAGCTCATATTCGAATTCACGTCATTTCATTCCAAAAACGATTACCATACCATTTTGTACGCAATCTATTGCATAATATTAAAGTTTGTTCACGTGGTAATACAATAATCAAAATATTTAAAAGATTGCTGTGAATTTGCACAATTTCAATGTTTAGCTTTCTGCAGGAGGCGTGAAATCGATTCCTATTAATTTGTTAATTAATTATTTCTCATCATTTATGTACAACATATTAAGATATATGTTAATAGTTGGTTTAACACATGTAAAGCGATTGCATTTCCATGTAGTTTTGGTATTTTCTCGTAGATGAACGTGTCTTTACTCGTATCCATCGTATTGCGTTTGCCATCCAGAACGTAAAAAGTTATTATCAATTAATTATGCGCTAAGTCAATTTATAACCGAGACTAGAATTAGAATTACATCCAATGTTAACGAAATTGGTCGATGGTGTGGGGGGGAGTCGGTATCACCACGTGCACTTTTAGCTCAACAGGACGCTGTTTTAAAAACCATCAAATTTCAAACAAAAGTAATCGGGTAACAAATCATTGTTTGTACACACAAATGAAGTCCTCACGCAGACATGTGTCGTTCTTGCGCATCCAGCTTGTTGCATTACGTAGTTACTCCGTTACTCGTTACATTATTGTTGAGGTAGCGTATAGTCTCCTACCCGGTTGTGTAACTTTCGCCAGATCGCAAATTTCTACAACTAAACGACGATACCCTGAGCTCAAGCACCGCGGTGTCGCGTGCCTCATCTGAGCCACAGTTTGAGGCGCAGTGCGTCTACGCCATTGAGATAGTAGCGAAAGAGACGTTTGTCGCGCACGAAACCCAGTGCTTCGTACAACCGCAACGCAGGCCGATTGGTAATCTCCGTCTCCAGAACAACCTCATCAGCGTCGCCAGCGATCATCTCTTGAATAGCGCGCTTAACTAATGTTGAACCCAATCCATGTTTGCGGTACTGCTTGTCTACAGCGAGCATGGCGATATATCCTCGCTTTATTACTTTTCTGTGCATGTCCAGCTTGCACACGATTGCGCCCACGCATTTACTTTCGTGCATTGCCTAAAAAAACATTCAGTTTTAATAGATTTGCAGTAGAAATGTGTATTTTTCTTACCAGAAAGCATAAATTGGGCCAATTATGAATGAAATACCTATATGTGTATATTGAATAAGGTTCTGACAAGTCTTTCTGGATTATCTTCATTATAAGTGGCATTTGTAGCTCAGACTGATAGGCAACATATTCAATCGTTGGATTCTCTACCCTTGGCAGCTCTGGATCTGGTATCACTGTTGATTTATCATCTTTTAACTCAATCTTTTCAAAGTGATTCACCACTATTTTGAGCTTTTCATCACTGCTGCCTGCTTCCTGCTTGTACTTGTCTCTAATTATGCTTGTGATGTCAAAGTCATCATGAAGACATGGGTGTGAGTTGGATTCTGCATGAATATCATTCTTATTCCTCTTCTTTTTGGCCTTTTTCTGCTTGGTTTCTTTCTCTTCACTGCTTCCTTCTACTTTTGTAGTATCTGCTTGTGATGTGTCTTGAAATTCAACCACAAAAACACTTTAAAGTCATGTAGATTTATGAGGAAATGATGCTTACCAGTCTTCGCCATGGGCGGGTGTTCCTCGTGGACGACGTCGACATCGGTGCCGTTGACGACTCCGTTGAGCGCCTTCGTCTTTAGCTTTATTTTCTCGATGTTGTCGCACACGGACTGCTGCAGTTCACATTTCGAGCCGTTCGAGGGCGGCTCACAGCCGCCCGTGGGCGCGCAGTCCTTTCTTTTACTATCTACTTTGTTCATTGTCTATGTACAAATTTGATTTTAACTAGTTCGAGCGTATATACAAATTTACAATGCATTTATACACGGATTTTCATGATTTACACATTGAACGGATGGCCATCTTTAATATCAAATCGAGTCGACGGCGCGTGAATGAAAGACTAACTTTAGGGGTAATTGATGACATTTGGCATTGGATTTTACAAAATAAAGCATTAACTTTTAGTTGTATTTTAAGAAATAAATGGACTTGTTTTGTGCAATAGACAGTTTAATTTTATAAGTTGATTTATCAGATTAAACAAAACGATTTATTAAGAGTATTCAGTTTAAACATTTTTGGCGTTTGCGCAATAACACACGTGGAAAATTCTAAGGCTACTTTCACAACACTGTAAGTTTTGTGAATATAATTTATTTTAAATTACTTACATATAAATTATGGCCATAAATATTTAATACATTTTATAAATATAAGCTTTAAACAATGTAATTTTAAATTGAATAACGCAAAAAATAGCGTTATCGATAGTTTGTAAAATGTTTAACCAGGAAGTACTTAGATTTGACGGCAGATGTCACTGGTAGTATCATATTAAGATTTATTTTATTATTATCTTTAGAATTGGCAACCAATACTGAAAAAAAAAACCACCAACAAACAAAGTTGACACAAGACGCCATGTACGATAGACGGAATTTTGTGTGTGCAAGTAAGAATTATTTAAAATGCAATAATTTAATGCTAATGCTATTTCTTTGGTTTTCATGTAAGTTAATTTATAAATAATGATAATAATCAATGAGAAAAATATGATTGATAAAAAGACACATTATTATTATTTAAAAAAAAAACGAATATTATATATGATTGTGTATGATTATAATGAGCAATGCTTTAGACTAATGGAATTATAATAATATGCGATCAACAATTGGTTTTTCTTCGCGTTGCCAACCAAAATAATTGTTGTAACGATGCAATTGTCGAATATCCAGAGTGGCCTTCAAAGTCTGGCGCTAGTGTGTATCGAAACCCCCTCTAAATGAATATTCTAATAAAATATCTGTCAAAAATCATCCAACCGATCCAACCTGTTTATTTGCAGTCCTAGTTTTCTAGTGTTACCATTCTTGCCGCCTCCGCTGCCGCCGTCGGCGTCGTCGCAACTCGCGCCGCCTCGTGCGCCCTCGCTGCCGCAACACTCTGCCTCTTGTGCTATACGGGCCGCAATCGTTCGTCGGCTCTCCTCCAGGACGTGTTATCCTCCGCCGTTGTCGCCGCCGGTGTGCGTGTTTACACACGCTCGCGCTTGGGATACACACGATTTTTGCCGCGACCCCAAAAACCGCCGATTGTTGATTGTTTTTGATGCGTTTTTCGTGTACGCGAAAGTTTTTCCCGCACTGCGAGGACGAGAGGACGAAAACCCAAGGATCACGAAAAAGTTTCCAACGCGTAATCAGTGGTGTGTTGTTCTAAAAAAACAACAAAAAAAGTTTAAAATATTTCCAAAGTTTCAACATTCTAAACTCAACCAAATCTAATAAAAAAATACTAGAACATTACTTCATAACTTATTATCGGCTAATTGATAATATAATCGTGCGCACTAATATATAATCTTATAAATACTAACAAAAGATAAATAGAAGTAAATTACATTAGTCCAATTATTATACTCTAGTAAAATATAAAAATTCTTTGAAAATATAAATATTTTATTATAAACAAAAAATTAATAGGCTTCTACAGGCTTTGGAAAAGATATAAAAAGTAAATGACTTGCTACCAAATAACGCGTAGAAAACACAATACAGAGCAAAAAAACGATAAATAGCATTAGTTAGCTTATGCGCATATTCTTTAATGTATACCAAGAAGACATAACCAACAAAAAGTGTAGGTACACAAAATATAATAACGACAAAATCTGTTTTACTCGTGCTGAGTGTTAAATTAAATTGAACAGAAGTGTTGTGAAGTTCATCAAGCATCAAAAAGACTGCAACCATACATACACAGGACTAGAATTCATCATAAATCTAATAAGGTTAGTAATTTTATTATTTTAACCATTTTTAATGTTATATTTAAACAAAAACTATTTTTTGTTTAAATTTGTTTAAATACTAGGAATATTTTATCATATGCATTACTAATGTAATAATAGTGCTCGACATTTTATTTCACAGCATATCTTTATGCTTTTTGATTTCGAGCGATAATAATTATTGAGTTAAAAGTCGATTCATTTAATCGCGTTTGTTTTGTTTCGTATTTTCCGTTTTCAACATTCGTGTGTGTTGGGTTGTCGCGATTGCGTTATGAGATTATAAACGTTTTAAAACGCAAAAATCATTCGAACTTTTCCCATACATATATATGCTACAAAGTAATTATATTAGAAGGGGTTGTAATTAAAATAAATATAGACTTAGCACTTTTCTTTCTATTATACTCGTTTTAATTCCTGCTCCACATTTACTTTTTCACATTTGTACAAAAAATAATAATTCATCTTTACATCATACTTGAGTATATAGCATGAAAAATGAAAAACTTCTTTTAACTTGTTTCTTAGTTAAACTTCACTCATTGCAAACGGAAAATTCGAAAGTCAGAAAGTCGGAAACATTGGTTATTCCACTAGCATCTAGTTTTCGTTTCGAGGGGTCATTTCTGCCATTTTTGTCGAGTTGTGTTTAAGAGAACCGAACGAAAAACGACCATCAATCAAGTTATTAACCCCGTTTTAGATGCGTATCGCAAACGCGCGGTTTCCTACCGCGTTTTTTCCGTTCTCGCCGTGCGCGCAACAGCATTAACAATAATATGCAAACGAGCAGTGCGGCGTACTCGAATTATAGTGATATAAGGGGTGGTCGTAAATTAAATCATTTGCTTAATATATTTTGATACATTTTTCGGCATAATCGCCATGCTATTTGCTAGTATTATGTTGAATAATAGGCATTTTAGGGGGACACAAAGAAAACATTTACTTAAGGATATGAAAAAAGTAATAAAACTTATAAAACCATAAAATTTTGACATTTTTATTTGTATATTAATAAAATTTACTAACTAATAATTATAATTTTTCCAAAACTAAAAAAACTTAAAACCTGTTATGTTTGTGTGTATTTGGTTGCATAAATCAATACTTTTACACAAATCAGGTTAAATAAAAAGTTAAAGTGACAGGAAAATTATTTATTCACACGACAATTATATATAAACTTTATATGATGCAAAAAACATACTCACAGCTATTAATTTACGATTTTTCTCCGCATTTAAATGAAGTGCTTTCTACACTTTGTAATAAAAGTATACTCAAAGGATAAGTGCTCGCAAACAATTTATTAAACTGAGTATTGCTTAATGCATGCATAATAAATTTCCTCGCATTGATAAAACGGCCTAGAAATAACTTTTACGTAATCCATGGGCATATAACTGACCGATGTAAACCACTCTGGAATAGAAGGGGAAACAACCTAACAATAATATATCGCAAAGTACCACAAACACCATCTATGCATTCGACGAGTCGTTTTTGTGTTACATAAATGCTTTTGGTTTGTATTGGGCAGTAATTTTATTTTATTTCCATTATTACAAATTTTGTTTTCTTTTTAAATACATTAAAGATGATAAAAATGCATTTTAACGCCATCTATGTTTGAATTATATAACTATAACAATGATTGAATTTTTAAACAAATTTTCATCATTTGTTTCACGCCTTATAAATCATAATTTTTGATATGTTAATAGTTATTTTGCTATTCTAGACCAAGACAAATTCAACAAATCATAGATAATCAAAATCTGTTCAGACGTTCTTGAGTTATATTTGGTGTAACTAACACGACTTTAAAAAATCGGCATATTCAACTGTATTGTTCACAAAAAATCATTTTTACCGAATTAATTTTTCTATAATCATGAGATAAAAAAATATAAATAAATATAAATAAAGCATACTGTATAATACATTGACTGACATTTTTATAATAGCGATAGTCTCGCACAAATTCTATGCGCGGATACAAAAACCAATTGTTTATTATAAACCCATCAGCATGGCGATAACTTGCGAAAGAGCGACGCAAAGGGAGTAAAAGTAGAAAATATCGAATATCCACTCAACTGACAACGCAAGATACACAAAAACCTAATCAAACATTCATACGCGCTCAAAACTATTATTCGTGTTACGTGATGTGAGCGCAGAACAAACACGACACGCATTTCGCCGGGGCGCCGAATTATCATTTTCGCCAGCAACGCAACGAAAATAAATGGTGGAGGCGCCGGGCATTCGAAAATAGAAAAGTGATTAAAAATAAATTCATAATCGCCACTCTCGGCCGACAACCTCAACTCAATTTAAATTTGAAATTTCATATTTTCAATCAAGTTATCAACAACATAGTAGTACTTGTTTATTTAGGGTTTACCTAAACCGAAAAATGCTCCTGGTAAAAAAGTTGTAAATGTTTAAATAATTGTTATGTTTAAATATTGAATGCTTTGTATTGTTCGCAGCGGCAACACGATGCACAACGGAATGCGGGATTTAATTACGAAATGAAAACATTAATTAAACCGTTTCCAGTATTCTGCGCGCATCGTGCTCCTCACTATTCCACCGTCGAACAATGCCATCCATTTGTATTTATAACCGCGTCCATCAACAATTAGATTCGAAACGCGCATAACCCTAAATATTATTTGCGAGTTGCATATTATGCAACCCAATGTACACGCATTTGTTATGTTTTTGTTTTTAACCCCAATATTTATAAACTTTTAACAAGCATAAACTATTAAATATGTTTTGATATTCATATATATAGATCAATTAGTAAATAGGTTATAATGAGCTAATGTGTATTGTTATCTCCTGCGTGTTATTCGAGTCGAAGCGATATTTATTCGGAGCATGTTTGCGGTCGCTCATTAATTAGCGTCGCTCAATGCAATATTAATGCAAATGACTGTCTGTGTTTATATTTCCGAACGCAACTGACACTAATGCAGACAAAAATAATATTTGCTTTGACTTAATAATATTCATATTTGATTGGAATATTAATTAGTATTTTATTTGAAAGCAATAAAAAGTTTTTTTTTTACGTGTTGGTTGGGGATTGAATTTAATTTCGAAAATAAATAGAAAAATAAAAGCGTAACTCGAAACGAAACGCTAATAACGTTAAAACCCGGTTTGTGGACGAACATAAATTCATTTCGTGTCAAAAGGACATTAAGTTGGCGACATTATACCTACGTCTATTTGTAGTATGCATCGTGCTCATATGTTGGACTGTTTTCTTTTCCTGCTCTGTGTGTTCAGAGCGCATGGAACCACGCAATATGAAACGTGTTAGTGTGGAGGAAGACTTTTGTTTCTTGTGTATCTGTTTCATGGTTTTAAGCATTACTACGTTTTCTTCGTTTTCTGGGTGCTAGCTTTTACGACTTTATTGAAAGAACAAATAAATGGGAGGAATAGAATGCTACAAGGAAGCTAAAGAAAGAAAATGTGAGGTTAGTGTAGTTTGGTTATTATTATTGGCAGAATAAAGGAGTTGTAGGATAGAGAATAGTGAGATGGAGTGAATAAGTTTAGATGAGGTTTTAGGGGTAAGACAAAGAAGAGTAGTAAAAACAGGGTCAGGATATTAACTTGAGAATGAATGTGAATGCGAATATGAACAAAAAGTTATTCAATTTATTCAATTTTGGGGTATGTTTTATTTGATAATAGAGAAATATGCAAATTCCGAGTAATTTATGTAAATTATGTGTTATGAAGAACACTAAAGTCATTTTTAACCTCAAATATTTATATTTTAGGTTCTGCGCATGCGCCAAAATAGTAGTTAATTAGATATCTACCAAAACATGTATATAATAAATAGGCAACATACATTACAAATCATTAAACGTATAGAATTGACTTGTTTTTACTCTTTTTTAACTCAAAATTTGTTCAAATAATAACATCGTTGTAATCGACGTAAAGCAAATTTGTTTCTTCTACCTGCCCAATCTCTCCCTCTAGTACCCTCGAGTACTTAATGTCACAAAGTAGATTTAAGATGATAACTCGGAAAATCTGACCATCTTTTCGTTCCTTTGATGCTCGCCCGCTGTAAGTAAGAGCGAACGCGTGAGCTCGTCGCGAAAATGACTTTCGCATGTAAATTAAGCCCAAGGTTAAGTTTCCCATTAACGTAACCTCACCCTCGTCTAAACTCGAGCGGAACGAAAGAAACTCGTCGAAAACTCTGCCACGACAAACCCGAAAGTGCGAACTTCATAAATATAGACTTCTTTTCAATTTTTTCAAACCAATTTCTTGAAACAAAAACTTTTTTAATCCTTATGTGCCTAAGTAAAATGCAATATTTTATTCTAAATTGTAAAACGTCACGTTTTATTCTCAAAGAATTTAAATAGAAAATCCCGAATGGTAAATGGAATCTAAAACTGTTTGAAAAAAAAAAACGTAAAGTTGAAAGTTTTGAAGTGTGGAAACTGAGAAAACTGAGCAAAGTTGTGAATGCACTCGGAAAATAAAAGATTTGTCATTCGAGGTTGCATTCTATTTGCATCAATCCGTGTGGCGTCGATTGCACTTTTGCAATTCTCTCTCGATTTGCCAAAAAACGTTCCACTTGATGCGCATTTACATTCCAATACGATTCAGACTAGCATTCATTTTTTATCGGCGAAAAACTTTTCCAAACTTTTTTGTTATTCTTGTTTTATTCACTCTACTTTAATTTAAATTGTTATAAATTTTTTACATCAGGTGGGCGATATAACAAGATGTGCACTACGTGAAGAAAATAAATTATCCTTAACAATTTTTTGTTTTGCCGTAAAAAAACTTGCAAACGTTTCAATTCGCGAAACAAAAAACAACCCTTAAATAAAAAAAACTAAAGAGTACGTGAGTAAAAATCGTAACTCGTTTACCTCCCCAACCTTTACGACCCTCGCCGTGTAACAGATTCTTTCGATCTTAATTTT